GAAGAGTAGTGGCAGAAGGGCCACGGTGACTGGATGTACATGGGACCAAGGGTCTCCAGGCCTCAGACCAGAGCAGCTGGTGGTGGATGAGGGAATGGAGGAAGGAAAGTAAGAGTCTTTATGGGACTCACTTTTGGAGAATGTCGCAGTCCCACCTGTACCATCACCATCATACCCGAAATCCCCTAAAATGCAGTTTTAAACTTCAGTTTGAGCGACAGAGTGAGACTCCAACTCAAAAAAAAAAAAAAAGGTTTGCAAAGATACACACACACACACACACACACACACACACACACGATGTTCACTGCAGCACTGCTTATAACAACAACATAGCTGGGTGTGGTAGTGCACATCTGTAGTTCCACCAACTTGGAAGGCTGAAGTAGAAGGACTGCCTGATCCCAGCAGGTTAAGGCTGTCGTGGCTATAAGTGTGCCACTGCACACCAGCCTGGGCAACAGTGAGATTTCAGCTCAAAAAAACAAAACAAAAAACAACAAAAAAGGTGAAAATGGCCTGAACATCTATAAATATGTGGACGCTATGAAGCACCCATACATTGGCCTTTAATGCAGCCATTAATGAGGGAGAGATCTATATGTGCTGATACTAAGATATCTTAACAAAGTTCTATTAAGTGAAAACAATGGCATATGGTATAGTCTCATTTACTTTTTAAAAAGACATATATATGCCAGACGCGGTGGCATACCTGTAATCCTAGCACTTTGGGAGTCAGAGACAAGAGGATTGCCTAAGCTCAGGGGTTCAAGATCAGTCTGAGCAACATGGCAAGACCTTGTCTCCACAGTAAATCAAAAAATTAACCAGGCATGGTGGCACATGCTTGCGATTCCAGCTACTTGGAAGGCTAAGGCAGAAGGATCACCTGAGCCCAGTAGGTCAAGGCTGTGGTGGCCTTGAGCATGCCACTGCACTCCAGCCTGGGTGACAGAGTGAGACTCTGACTCAAAAATAAACAAATAAATGAGACAGACACAGACACACACACACACACACATTAATAAAATTCTACTTTTGGAAGTATAACCAAAAAATGACTTACGGTCTGTGAGGAGAGGGCACAGTGGTCATAGGATGTAATAAGGAAGAACAACTTGCTTCTTATTTTTTATTTTATTTTTATTTTTTTGAGTTGGAGTCTCACTCTGTCACCCAGGCTGGAGTGCAGTGGCATGTTCACAGCCACCGTAGCCTCGACCTGCTGGGCTTAAGCGATCCTTTCACCTCAGTCTTCCAACTAGCTAGACCTACAGGCACGGGCTACCATACCCAGCTTAATTTTTGATTTATTGAGACGATGTTTCTCCAATTGCCCAGGCTGGTCTCGAACCCCTGAGCTCAGGCAATCCTCTCACCTCGGTCTTTCAGAATGCTGGGATTACAGGCTTGAGCCACTGCGTCCAGCCTTATTTTTTATTTTACACCTTTCTGTGTAGAATAAAATTTTCTCCACATTCACATATTATTATTATTCTAAAAAGGAAAGAATGCAGCCGGGCGCAGTGGCTCACACCTGTAATCTCAGAATTTTGGGAGGCTAAGACAGGAGGACAGCCTAAGGCCAGGAGTTTGAGACTAGTCTAGGCAACATAGCGAGACCATGTCTCTATAAAAAAAAAAAAAAAAAAAGGTCAGGGATGGTGGTGCATGCCTGGAGTCTCAGCTACTTGGGAAGCTGAGGCAGGGGGACCACGGGGAATCTCAGAGATTGAGGTTACGGTAAACTATGATCAAAACACTGCATTCAGCATGAGCAACAGAGCAAGGGTCTGTCTCAAATTAAAATATAAAACAATAATTAAAATAAAATAATAACATACTCAATTAACACTTATATGCTAGCTAAAGGTAGGTAGGCCTAGAATATTAAATATCACTTGGTATTTAAAGCCCAGTCCTGGGTATAGGTGCCAAGGCTCTTTTTTTTTCTTCCTATGTTGTATTTGAGATAAAACATATGATTTCCATAGACATTTACTGGGCAAGTAACAATGGTAACAGATGAACGTCCTCAGAGTGTTACTGGTTTGCTGGAACTCACAGAATAAGCATCTAAAAGAAATAAGATAACTTTTATAGCTACTTTCTAACTATAAAAGTAACATTTGCCAATAGCAGAAAATTTAGAAACAAAAGCAAAAAGAAGATAAAAGTTACCATAATCTTGTGATTACAAAATGCTAGAGTGATTATCATTTATAAAACATTAACCCTGGGCGCGGTGCCTCAAGCCTGTAATCCCAGCACTTTGAGAGGCCGAGGCGAGAGAACTGCCTAAGCCCATGGGTTCAAGACCAGCCTGGGCAACTTGGCGAGACCTCTCTCTACAATAAATTTGGAAAAATTAGCCGGGCATGGTAGTGAGTGTCTACAGTTCCAGCTACTTGGGAGGCTGAGGTGGAAGGATCCCCTGTGCTCAGCAGTTCGAGGCTGTGGTGGTTGTGAGCATGCCACTGCACTCCTGCCTGGGTGATAAAGTGAGACTCTGACTCAAAACACAGACAAAAATATATTTGTTATGTGCCAGGCACTATGCTAAACACATTATCTGCATTATCTTGATTAAACCTCACAACACGTAAGAGGTACCACCTGCATTTTATAACTGCAAAAACTGAAGTTTAGAGAGCTGAAATAACTTTGTTAGCTCACAGTCACACAGCTAAGTAAGTAGTATATTTGGAATTCGAGGCCAGGCTGATGGACTGCAGAGTATGAGTTCTGAACTATTATACTACATTATTCATTTTGTAGTTTGTGTTTTTCCATTTTGTCTAAACTATATGTCTATTCAGATTTTTGGTATTTCCCAAAATGGGATCATACAGTGTTTTTGTAGAGTGCTTTGTTTTCTATTTATTATACTAATGCTTTTTCCCATGGTATTAAAATGCTGACATAAAACTGTTTATTCATTCAATATATGTTTACCAAGGACCTATGAATGCCAAGCATGAACCCAGGTACTTAGGACAAAAGCGGTAAATACAACAAAGTTTCTGTTCTCAAGTAACTTACGCTTTCGCAGGGTGGATAACAAAAACAATTAATGATTTAGGTGGTAATAAATGTTATAAAGCAAAATAAAGCAGGTAGAAGGAAAGAGAATAGAAGGGATGCTGTTTTTTTCTCTAACATGCCTATTTTGCCAGGCACGGTGGCTCACACCTGCAATCCTAGTACTTTGGGAGGCAAAGGCGAGAGTACTGCCTGAATCCAGGGGTTTGAAACCAGCCTGGACAACTTGGTGAGACCTCGTCTCTACAACAAATCAAAACATTAGCCAAACGTGGTGGCATGCGTTTGTGATTCCAGTTAGTGGGAAGGTTGAGGAGGAAGGATCACCTGAGCTCAGCAGGTCAAGGCTGCGGTGGCCGCGAGCATGCCACTATACTCCAGAGTGAGACTCACACTCACCAAAAAAAAAAAAAAAAAGATGCTCTATTTTATAGCTATAAAATCGGTTTCCTATTAATAGACATTTAGATTATTTCTAACCTTTCGCTACTAACAGAAACATCTTTTCACATCATCTGTTTGAACTCTGATTATTTCCTTAGACTGCATTTCTAGAAGTAAGTGTATGCACTTTTAAAGGCTGATCATGTTAAACTGCCCTCCAGAAAGACTAGAGTGATGAATACCACCACCCATACAAAAGAACAACGTCCTCCAAAGTATTATTTAAAACAATAGGAAAACTATGTTAACTTACAAGGGAAACAAGAGATTATCATTAATGCATGTGCATTTTTTTTTTTTTGAGTTGGAGTCTCTGTCACCCAGACTGGAGTGCAGTGGCACCTCCCAGCCACCGCAGCCTCAACCTGCTGGGCTCTGGCGATCCTTCCGCCTCAGCATTCCAAGTAGCTGGAACTACGGGCGTGCGCTACCACGCCTGGCTAATTTTTGATTTATTGTAGAGATGAGGTCTCGTCAAGTTGCCTGGGCGGGTCTCAAACCCGCGGGCTCAGGCAATCTACTCACCTGAGCCAAAGGCGCAGGATTACAGGCTGAGCCACTGAGCCCAGTCCAACATTTTTAGAATTAAATTTTTGTTGTTAACACTCCAAATAGTTTTCCCAGTTCATCATCATCTGCTTAAAGTTTTGTTTCCAGTTTTCTGAATTGTTATAAGGTCAAACCTGTCCAACTTTTTTTTATACTTTCTTTCCTTGCTTTTATATTCTTAGAGCACCTACCATAGTCGTAATTTATATTTTCTTCAGCTAGCCATTTAAAACCACCTAAACTTCTTTTCGGAACACAATGAGTTAAAAATAAAATGTCCATCCACATATTCTCCAACAAGTGGATCATTTTCAAAAGACTGTAGCTTTGTATCCATGTTTTAATACTTTTCAAACGCCAAAATGGAAACCTCAGCTTATCCAACTCTATGAAAAATTTTAAGGGTTCTTACCTCGACCCAAAACACAAATAGCCATCAAATTGGATGAATAATAAGTAGAATGGAATTTCAGCAGCTCTTGTCTTACATCAATGCCTTCCTGGTTTGGTCTAGTCTCCAGAGTATATTTGTTACCTGAAAGGAAAGAAAAGGCATTTCTTAGACAAAGCAAAATATGTGGACTTTAAATGTTTATAATGATTACTGACATCACTAAAAGATACACTTAAAAAACAGAGTTCCAATATACGTAATAATTAGTCAAATATGTCTTAGCAGAAAGCAGATAAACTGGACAATAAAGTACAAATTAATAACATTTTAAACTACATTTTCCCTAAGGAACTAAAAGTGCATTATAAAAAACCATACTTCTTAAGATCCCTATGAGGCAGTAGGTATTATAAGCACTTAGAAAGTAAAATAAGATCCACATGGCCTCCATTCATGCTTACTGTAATTTCTGATTCCCTGTGTGCTCCAGAATTAATTGAACAGAGTCACTGAGGAATCTTTTCGGAACTTGCCAAGTTACTTGTGGAAAGAAATTTACTATTTTGGGTGGAAACATTAAATTTGTGATGTAAAGTCTCATGGATGTGATCTAGACTGGTTAAAAATAGGATGAATGCTATTTTTATAACTCTCAAGTGATATATATAGTGTACCACTAAGAGCTCACAAAATTTTAATAACTAATCCAATTAGGGCGAAATATGCATGTCAAAAATAGTCAAATTCTCTAAATAATACCTTTCTAATAAAGACCTTGGATATTAGGAACTGAGAGATGAGATCCCAATGGCTGATGTCTCCCCAAAATGGCACCTTGACTGGAAATATCCTAAGATCCTGACATAATAACTTTTATTATTCGTCCTGCTTACACTACTATATGGGATCCCGTCCTTCTTCTGCAGAGTTGAAACTATGGTACAACATGCTCTTAATGTGGTTTATTTTTTTCCTTGTGTTTTTATTTGTTTGTTTGTTTGTTTTGAGTTGGAGTCTCACTCTGTCACCCAGACTGGAGTGCAATGACCGCTCCCAGCCACCGCAGCCTCACCTGCTGGGCTCCGGCGATCCTTCCGCCTCAGCCTTCCAAGTAGCCGGAACTACAGGCGTGTGCTACTACGCCCGGCTGATTTTTTGATTTATTGTAGAGATGAGGTCTCGCTACCCAGGCGGGTCTCGAACCCGCGGGCTCAGGCAATCCACTCACCTCAGCCTCCCAAAGGTGCGGGATTACAGGCTGAGCTACCGAGCCCGGCTTCCTTGTGTTTTTATAATGTCTGATGGACTGGCATTTGGAAGGTCCTTCTTTCAATGAATTGGCTATTTATAGAAAGCCACCAGATGGTGTTCTCAGACCCAGTCTTTCGCTCAGTATTGCTGAATAGTACTAAGTCATTTATGCCCCAGAATACTTGAGTCAACAGATCTAGTGAAGACAGAGTATGCAAGAAACAGCCTAGTAAGTACTCATTAACCATTTTCTAGTCACAAAACAAGTCCATGTTTTCATATTCACAAAAGTAGCCTAATGCCCAAGTTTCCAGGCTAATTCGTTCTTTCAGTTTCTCACTAAAAACCTAGTTCAATTCCAGATCTGCTCTACTGCCCAAAGGAGTCGGGAGACATCCTCTCACTCTACCTGAGGAGTTCTTATGCTCTTAAAAGTTTCCAGAATCACAACTCCCAAGGGGAGGTGGGGGCGGGAGGGAGTCTTTTGCCGGAGAATGGTTTGAAGTTCCCTCATGTGGAGGTGAAATCTGACTACTGCTAATGCCTCCCCACTTTCTACAATTTAGAGACTCTAAAAGCCTCAGTTCTAGAGAGACTTTTCTTTGAGCTTCCTTAACCCTTTACACCACCAAGTTCAGATTCCTAAAACATGTGAACTAAGATTGACACACTGTGATACCCAAGTTCAGAGAAGTTGTTTTATTTCTACCAACTATATGTGTGACAGTGTCAGATCAAAATCACATTTAGCCTAAATGCGATCTGACTCGTCTTTTCACAATCCGGCCAATATCCTAGTTAAACACAAACATTCCATGCTCCCTCACTCTCCCTCATTCCCTTCTCTCCCCCCCTCTCAAATCAAAGCTTACAGAGACAACATCACGGCCTTCATCTAGAACTTAACATTCTTTCAAGTGAACCACCTCTAGCCCCTTTTGCCTAATGTTTCTGAATATTCTACCATTCCAATCCCTACTCTATCTTCATGTCTATTTTAAAACATGGAGAAAAAGACAGTCGAGGGCATGGCTCGTGTGCAAAATACTGACAATGCTGTATTAAAATGAGTTAAAGGACCACAATGGAATTCTTTACAGTAAAGAGAATGAATAATCCATTGCTTACATGCAGCAGTATGAACCTCACAACCTTAGATTCAATGGATAAGCCAGATACAAGCATATTCACTGTATAATTTCATTTATATTAAGCATAAAAACAGGCCAAACTAATCCGAATTATTAGAAGTTAAATTAAGCCGGGCTCGGTGGCTCAGCCTGTAATCCCACGCCTTTGGGAGGCTGAGGTGAGTGGATTGCCTGAGGCTGCAGGTT